GAGAGAGAGAGAGAGAGAGAGAGAGAGAGAGAGAGAGAGAGAGAGAGAGAGAGAGAGAGAGAGAGATGAGCGATACAAGATTGGCTGTCACGTACCTGTAAGTTGCGCCGTGCACGAAGAAGACGAAGGCGGCCATAGCCGCGGAGCGGGGATAAGGGACGAAGGAGGGATATAGAGGGAGGAGAGAAAGGAGAGACCAAGGGAGGTGAAGGCAGACATAACGAAGGGTGTGGAAGGAGACGGAGGAGACGAAGAAGATAAGGGTAGAGGTGAAGGTGAAGGTGAAGAGGAAGGTGAGGGAGAAGGTTGACGGCCATAGCCGAGACCTCGGGGAGTTGACTCGGGGTGTTGACCGGCGTTGACCAGGGGTCGATCGAGCGTTGACCGGGGTGTTGACCGCAGCATTGACCAAGACCGTTGACCACGATTTTGACCAAGCTGGAGTTGGTATATTCTCACCGAGCCTTCAACCTATCCCATCGCCCTATGGATGTGCACACACCCTGTGGTACTTGCTGAGTCTATTGAGTCTGTCTGTCTCTTCTTTCTGCATTGAGTCACTCCTGTCCTAGGTGATAGGACTCTGTGGATGAAGGATAGGGCCTTGCTGCCAAACCTACACGAGACTTAGAAGGACTTAATTCTACTCCGACACCTGGAGACCTGGGCATGAGCGGCGAGCGCTCGTTAAACAACTCGTCTAGCCCAATGACCGGTGCTGCCCGGCAGGTCAACCCAGTTTCAGTGTGGATGGTCTGACCGGCGGGCTGAACGGTGTGGCACAAGGGGCCACGAAATCCGAGTTGTGGGCTGTGCGGCAGCTAAGGACTTGCTGATCACGTCGTCCTGTCTGCGATGTCAAAGAATTCTTGAGGAGTTACGGGGGATCTCCTTAAATGCCTCCAGATCAACAGTGAGTCCTGTAGTGACAGCCTTAGAGTAGGTCTAGGCTAGAGACCATAGTTGACAGGGTCAGAACCGGAGTGAAAGCCAGGTGGGATTGACCGCAGGTGCTGGGCATCTGGGTCGTGGAAAGACTGAACTCTGTTTGCGAAAGCTTACGTCGGTTGTGGTAACCTGGTTGGAACAAAGGGGAAGACCTTGTGGTCCTTAGAGAGTCTGTCAGTTAGCTAGTCAGTTAGTGTCAGGGTAAGTCTAAGTGGTGAGGAGTGGGACTTCTGTCGTGCACCACACACCATGGACGACTACCCCATGTACAGCTTGCTCGTAGGGTTCTCCTTATGGGGAACCCTCTTACAACTCCTCTTTCCTCTGGGTTTCTGGCGAATACTGGCCGAACGCAGGGCCAGAAGGGAGAAGAAAGAGGTGGAGAAGCAGGCCAAGAAGTTGGCCCTCATGGAGGAGCAGGCCGCCAAAAAGAAAAAGCTGGAGGAGGAAATGGAAAGGCTGAAAAAGGAAGAGGAGGAGAAACTGAGAGCAGTGGAAGAAGAGGAAGAAGAAGAGGAAAAGGAAGTTCCCCTGGAGAGAAAAGGGAGGACTGCAGAGACAGGGGAAACAAGTGGCACGAAGAAAGACACAGACGCAGAGATGGAGAAAAAGATTAGTGAGTGGATTGCCAATCTGTCGTTGGGTGAGGATGAGGAGGCAGAGTTTTACATACCTCAGGATGAGAGGGAGGGATGCCTTAGCTACTGAGTTGGCTGGAATGGAGGACCCTCTGGAGAAACAAGAAAGGGAGGAGGAAGCAAAGTTGGAATGGAAGCTGAGGATGAAGAGGGAGAAGAAGAAGAGAAGGATGAAGTCAATAGGCTGACAGAGGAGGTGGCAAAGGTAAGGGATTGCAAGCAGAAGTTGGAGCCCAGACAGACGACCAAACCAAATGGGATAAGGTGTTGGGTTACCTAGAGGTGCTGAGTGCAGCCTGGATGGAGGAGCGCCAGGCTAGTAGGGCGCAAGAAGTACCGCTGAGGGCCATGCGGTCAGGATTTAGGGACTTTGCACGCGAGTTAGTCTCCCATCTGGGGGATGAAGTCAAATCATTAAAGGGCGATATGGGGAAGTACTGCCAGGGCGCCATAGAAGGTGCCAAAGCTAAAGCTGCTGCAGAGGGAGAGACTAGACCCCGCAAGGAACCTGTTAAGCTGAAGTTCCCAGATGCGTATGGGGGGAAGAAGGAAGAGATCTTTGACAACTGGGAAACCAGTGTCAACAGCTACGTTTATCTGCAGCATATCCTGGCAGGGGAGCAGGTCCTTGTAGCATTTCAGGCCCTCAAGGATGAGGCAGCTAGTTTTGCCAGGTCTCTAGCACGTGCAGCCGGTTGTGAGAACAACCTGGTTGCCTATTCTAAAGTCACCTCGCTCCCTCAATTCTTCAAGCTGCTCAGAGAGAGGTTTGCGGACCCAACGTGAGGCATCAAAGCCTCAGATAAGCTGCAAACGATCCACTCACGACAGTGGAAGAGTGCAAAGGCATTCAAATGTGTCATGGACGACTTAGTAGCCGTCCCAGACCATGGGGTCACTGAGCCCCAATTGGTCCAACTGTTCTATCGTGCCATTTCTATCGCCTTGAGAGGGCACTTCTTCGAAAAGTATCAGCAGGCTGACATGACTTATGATGCGTTGAGTAGAGAGGTCGTCCTGTTTGAGTCCAAGTCTGCGCTAGTTTCCACTTTCTGGCACAAGGACTTAGAGAAGGGAAAAAAGTGGAAGGGTCGTACCATCTCTGGCCAAGTTAAGGCCAAGGATCACATGATCCTGACTTTAGAGGAAGGTGGTATTGACGAGGTCCCATACGAACAGATTGAATGGGGCCTAGAGGAGGAAGACAGTAGTATGGGCCAGGGGAGATCCTATGCTGCTGTCGCGGCTGGAGGGAAGCCGCAGGGTCGAGGAGGAGGCCTAGGGTCTGGCGCTCAGGGGGTTGGTGGACAGGGTAACCGCCAAGCGGGAGGTAGGGGTCAAGGTCCCCCGCAAAATCGTAAGGGTCCCAACCGGTCTTCACAACAGCGAGGTGGAAGGGCACCTCAAGGAGGTTGGCACCCAGGGTTGCCTCAGGGCAGACCCTGGGAAGATTTGGGCTTGGACCAACGCTTATGGCAGGAACGCGTGGACCAAGCTCAGTGCATATTCTGTGGTGACCCAACTCACGTCATTAAATTTTGTCCCAAGTACCGACAGACCCGTTGGACTGCTCAGTCAAAAGGCGGTCGCCAATATGGGTTGCAACTGCCCACTTCAGGGCCATGTGGAGAAGAGAGCGCGCGCGAACAGGACACTCCCAACCCACATGGTCCAACGGTAGAGGTTGCAGGCCCGTGTCTAGCTAGCTGTCCAAAGACTGCTTGTGTCAGCGTCTCTCTAGGCACGTACCTCACAGGCGTGGTGGAAGAGTTGAGAGAAAGGATGCCCGCCTGGGCCAAAATGAAAAAGGAGAGTAAGGGACAACTAATCCTGTTAGATGTAGAGGTGTTTAGGACTAGAGTAGGGGCCCTCATAGACTCGGGGGCGACCTGTAGTTACATTAGCCGGAAAGCGCTGAAGAAGCTGAGGTTAGGACTAAAAGTCCAACAGTTAGCAGACCCCATAGTCAGTATTCTCGCAGACCACAACACTTTGCGAGTCGAGGAGTATGTAGAGGGAGTCCAGGCATATGTCCGCCTAGAGAAAGATGGAAAAGTGGAGAAAGTTCTCCATTCCTTGACTCTCCTCGTGCAGGATAACCTTCCGTTTGACATGGTCCTAGGTATGGACTGGGGAGAGGCAGCAGGGGCCACACTCCATTTGAGAGAGCACAAGTGTAGGCTCCCTAGTTCGTCAGGCGAGGTTAAGACTGCCCGCGTGTTCCATGTGTCTGGTGTAGACAACACCTTGGCATATTGCTGCCTCAGTGCTTCTGCGTTCGCGCGACTGGTGAAAAAGGAGCAGTTAGAGGACCAGGTCTTTGTAGTGTATGTTAGACCTGCTACTGAGGCCAAGGAAGAGATTGCTTCCACAGATCGAACCATTGCCAAGTTGCTAGAGGAGTTTAAGGACTTGACTGAGCCGCCGTCAGGAGTAGTGCAGCGACCCATCCAGCATGGGATAGAGATAGAACCTGGCAGTAGAACTCCTAAGGGAGCGGTTTACAAAATGTCCCCTAGAGAGTTGGAGGAGCTACGCAAGCAGTTAGATGAGCTCCTAGAGAAAGGTTGGATCCGGCCCAGTTCGTCTCCTTTAAGAGCACCAGTTCCGTTTGTCCCCAAGAAGGAAGGAGAGCTCATAATGTGTATAGACTACAGGGGTTTGAATGCGATTACGGTGAAGAATGCTGAGCCGCTGCCCAGGATAGATGATCTCTTAGATAGGGTGCAAGGCTGCAGGTATTTCTCCAAGATAGATTTGAAGTCCGGTTATCATCAGATGGAAGTCCATCCTGATGACCAGTACAAAACTACGTTCCGGACAAGATATGGGCACTATGAGTTTATAGTGATGCCCTTTGGGCTTACCAACGCGCCAGCCACTTTTCAGCGTTGTATGAACGATATCTTCAGACCCTGGTTAGATATGTTTGTTGTAGTTTATCTAGATGACATATTAGTTTTCAGTAAGACCCTCCAGGAGCATCAGGGTCATTTGAGGCAGGTCTTGGAGAAACGAAGAGAGGCTAACTTCAAGATCAATCCCAAGAAGTGCGAATGGGCCAAGACCCAAGTTTTGTACTTAGGCCATGTGCTAGACGGAGATGGCATTAAGCCAGAGGACAGCAAGATAGCGGCGATCAGAGACTGGCCAACGCCCCTAACATTGACTGAATTGCTTTCGTTTTTAGGCCTAGCCAATTACTGCAGGAAGTTCGTCCGAAACTTCTCTACCATCGCTGCGCCCCTTCGCAGGTTGTTAAAGAAAGAAGCAGTCTGGTGTTGGGACAAAGACTATACATCGGCCATGAAGAGGTTGAAGAAGACCTTAATATAGTATCCTGTCCTCAAAGTAGTCGATCCGTCTTTGTCGTTTGTCGTCACCACGGACGCGAGTCAGTATGGTATAGGCGCCGTGTTACAGCAAGACGACGACAATGACTATAGGCCCGTAGAGTTCATGTCAGCGAGGATGCCATCAGAGAAAGTAGCTTCCTCGACTTACGAGAGGGAACTCTACGCTCTCAGGCAGGCTTTAGATCACTGGAAACATTACCTGCTTGGGAGGCACTTCAAAGTCTATTCAGACCACGAAACGCTTAGATGGTTAAAGACTCAGGCCAAAATGACACCTAAGTTGACTAGGTGGGCCGCTGAGATAGACCAATATGACTTTGAGCTCAAACCGGTTAAGGGCAAGTACAATGTAGTTGCGGACGCTCTGAGTAGGAGAGCAGACTACTTTGGGGCTATAGTACATTACCTAGATGTAGGGAAAGACCTGCAGGAGAAGGTGAGACAGACCTATGCGCAGGACCCTATCTACGGTACCCTTCTTGAGAAAGTCAGGACGGCCCCAGAGACTGAGCCGCATTACCGCACTACAGAGGGATTACTATTTGAGAAGACTGATGTAGTAGACCGCTTGTGCATCCCCAACAGTGAAGAGATCCGTAGTCTGGTCCTAGGGGAATGCCATGACACAGAGGGAAACCTTGGTTGGCAAAAGACTTTAGCCAATCTCATGCGCGCGTATACCTGGCCAGGAATGAAAGCTGACTGTATGGAGTAAGTTCGCAGTTGTAAAGTGTGCCAGCGAAATAAGACTACTACGCGTGCGCCTCTAGGTCTTCTCAGACCCTTGCCTATTCCAGACCAGCCCGGAGATTCAGTCTCCATTGATTTTATGGATACCTGTGTCAAGAGTAGACATGGCAAGAGCCAAGTCATGGTCATAATTGATAGGTTTAGTAAGTACGCTGTTTTTGTTCCTTTGCCTGCAGAGGCAAAAACTGAGTTAGTGATACAGAAGTTCTTTGATCATTGGGTTAGTGAGCATGGAGTCCGATTGTCTATAGTTAGTGATAGAGATACCCGCTTCACGAGTCAGAACTGGCAGGAACTAATGAAAGTTTATGGGTCAAAGTTGTTGATGTCATCTGCCCGGCATCCTGAGACCAACGGTCAGACCGAACATATGAATAAGATCCTGCAGCAAGTTCTGCGCATGTACATTAGACCGGATCAAGTTAACTGGGACGAGATGCTGCCCATAGTAGTTAGTGCCTACAATAACTGCGTGCATCTATCCACTTGTCGCACTCCCAACGAGTTGCACAAATCCTTTAGACCGCGCAGATCGTTTGAAGGGCTGAACCGGGATCAGATACAGAGATTACCGCTCGGTACCAGGGAGTTCGCGATACAGCACGAAAAAGAGATCGCTACAGTTGTTGAAAACCTCAGGAAGACCCAACATCGTATGGTAGAACAAGCTAAAAAACATCGTCGCCCATCGCAGTTCCAGGTAGGCGACCTAGTCTAGGTCAAGTCTAAGGAGTTTGCCCCTGAGGAAAGCATCTCGCAGAAGTTACTGCCCGCGTATAGAGGACCGTGGCCAGTCCTAGAAGTCAAGGGAGGAGACGATGGACCTTCATATACAGTCGAGATCCCAGCACATCTCCACACCTACCCAGTGTTCCATGCATCGAAGCTATTGCCCTGTTTCACGAGTCAACAATTCCCATCAAGAAGATCCATGATCCCTCCGGACATGGATGGAAGCTACGACATTGAGGGCATAGTAGGTGATGATGTCTTTAGAACTGGAGGTAGAGGTCGTCCCCAAAAGCAATACAAGGTTCGCTTCGCATATCAAGAACCGCTGGTTCACTAGGACTGAGCTTCTAGAAACAGCTCCCGACCTAGTGAGAGCCTACGAGAGAGACAAAAAGGGTAAAGGTCTTACCTTTGACTGAAGTTTTCTCGAAGGACCTCGAATTTAGGCCGGCGGGACTGAAACGGATTCCACCATCTGCAGTAGCCGATGCACATTCCAAGATTCGATCCCCAAACCTTACCTTTCTCATGTACAGTATTCTCACGAGTTTGAACCCGTGACCTGCGCCGTAGGAATCGTAGCTGTAGTCGTAGGTCGTAGCTGTAGCTGTCTGCAAGGGTCAAGGTCGTAGCTGCAGTAGGTCCGGAAGGTCAAATTCTAGGACCTTCCGGAAGCAACTGCCCACGTTTTAGACAGAGGCCAGTGGGCAAGTGGTCAAGTGGCGAATGAAGTAGCCCAGTCGTGAGACAAGTGTCGACCTGGTCATAGTGGACCCCAGTGCGATAGCAGTAGGATGTCGGTAGGATAGCAGCACGACGGTCAGTCCTAGTTCCAGTCCAGCAAGTACCACACGGGAGTGTATGTACCGTGGGCCCGGGGCAAGAGGCAGACCAACCAGCGACAAAAGTATAAATAAAGATGCAGCGTCAAGCCATTCATTTCAGTTGTTGCGTAAGCTATGCGGAAACGCTGCCAGAAGCGGTTGTGCGTAGAAGGTCTGCAGCTGCGCCTGGAGACGAAGGGGGCAATAGACGAGTTAGTAGTGTTAGTAGTAGAGCAGCCATAGCTGCGATAGTGTTAGGCAGGTGTGTGTATGTGTGTGTGTGTGTGTCGAGGCAGAGACTTGCGTGCGGTGTATTCAGGGTGATCCTAGTGTTGTGTGTGTGAGAGACGAGTTGTTGTGAGTTGGGCACTGGTGCGCCATAGCGTGCAGAGCCGAGTTCTAATCTGAGGCGAGGGTGGCAGTGTATATTTCCATGTTCTAGCGGTAGATTCATTGGATTTTGCTCATCCTATCAATGGAAGTACCAGGAGGCCAGCCGCGAGGTTGGAGACTTACATGCTCTCTCTTTCTCTCTCTCTCTCTTTCTCTCTCTCTCTCTCCTCCCGACTTCTTCCGCTGCCTCTCACCATCCCACCTTCGGCCTTCCTCCTGCCTTCCACCATCATCTTTCCACCATCGCTACCTCTCTCTCTCTCTCTCTCTCTCTCACACACACACACACACACACACACACACACACACACACACACACAGACACACGCACCCACACACACACACACACACGCACACACACACGAACAAGTGTCGCAATGTATATTTCCATGTTCTAACGGTAGATTCATTCGATTTTGCTCATCCAAGGTAAG